ATATCTGTGGGAAAATTACAAGGTGAAAGCAGGTCTTTTTTAATTACTAAAACTATTAAAATCTACCATTAAAATCAATGGAAAATCTTCCCATTAATCAAGTTCTTATTTAAAAAAATACATTTTTAACACTGACAGCACAATCCACATCAAGAAAAAGAACATTCCACTACAGGCTGACTACTAGTGCTTTTGAAAATAGGTGTGATTTATCATTGATATAAATCATCCCCCTTTCATGCCCTGCTCTGTTAAGATTTTAAACAAAGCTATTAAAAACAGCTTATTTTCTTATCTTTCATAATTTGCATTAAAGTATCAAGTGTGACTCAAAAGGACAACCATCAACACCAGAAAATAAGAGTGAAAGAAATGTTAATTTTACAAATAAGGAACATGTTATGTTGATATAGCCAAGTCTTGTAAAATTATTCTAATCTAGGTTATACTGATGTTAATCAGAATTAATTCACTGCTGTAACATGAAGGGTTTTATACCAGTTTTAATCCACAGTACCTGAATACAAAGTTTGCAGCTGTGATTGCAGCTTGCTTCTCTCTTTTGGTAACCAGTGAAAACATGACAATAAAAACTGAACCTGTGGAAAAAAAATGCTGCTCTGGAGGACATTGGTCATATCTGGAAGCAGAGAAGTGGAGTCTTAATTATGAGCTAATTTGACAGTTTTATTTTTTTTTATTTTTTTGGTGTGAGAATTGGAATTATATTACAACTGAAATGGGCCCAGTACAAATGGATTTTTTTTTGTCTATATATGAGCAATATTTGTGGTTTAAAGCAACACTATCTTGCATACACTTTGCTTAAAAACAAAGATTAAGGGCTAATTCTTATCTCAGCAAGGCAAGCCTTAATTCTATTGAAGTCAACAGATGTAAAACAGCATAACACTGACATAGCAAGAATAAAGACAAGCCCTAGGACTCTCATTCATGCCAGCAAAAGCCTGGGAAAGAGATATTATTAGTCAGTCTCACAGGCTTCAGTTCAGGCTCTGCCTTTGGTGCCAGTCAGGGTAGGTGCCAAGCATCTTGTGGTTTTTAACTGTATCTGGAGGAGGGAGGGTGAGCCCAGGAAAAAAGGACTGTATCCTGAAAAGTACTAAGCACCTGTTATTAATTCTTACTGGTTCCAACAGACTTGTGACTACTCCATACTGCTCAGCTTCAGATCCAGAATACATGCATGGAATTACATCCAGTGCTATAGCAAAGTGGGGGCAAGCAGGGTGACTGCCCCGGGTGCCGAAACAAAGGGGCACCAATAGGTACTGCCCAGCCAGAGCCATGAGCGGCTCATTTTGGGGGGAGAGGGGATGGGGGGAGCATGGCTCCCACTGCTGTGTGCACTCCCGGGCAAGCATGCGGAAGGCATATGCCCCACAGATCTGTGCGTGAGGTGAGGGCAGGCTGCCTCTACAGGCTTTGCCCTGGGTGCCAAATTTCCTTGTCATGGCACTGATTATACCTGCAACTTTTTATGAGAAAGAAAGAGAACACTGAGTCTGCAGTGAGATGCAAGCTCCCAGTTTCTCTGCTTGTTAACCCCAGCAAGTGGGAAATCATCCCAGTGATATCAGTGAAACTATATCAGTCTGAAACTGATATAAATGAGAAAAGAATCAGGCCCCTAATATGTGGAGACAATTTAAGTGGACAGCTCTCAATTACACCTTAATGAATGAGGCTAAAACAACGTTAAGAAAGATAAACTGGGCCAAGAATTGGTGTCTTGCATTGAAATATCTAAGAAAGGAGACAAACTCAAGAGGGGATACTACAAAAGACAGACCAAAAGAAGATGGAAGAAAACAGCGAGGAATAACATTCCTTCAGGAAACTTTGCTATGTCTTACTCTAAATGCAGAGAAGTAGGATGTAACTTTGTAATTTTATCCTAATAGCAATGGAGTGTCGTTTCCTAAACTATGAAAATCAAATCACAGACATTGCCTGCTGAAAAGAGGGCCTTCTTCCCTATTAAAAAAATGTAAGAGGTAGGGTAATAATGATATGTAGATACACTGTAATTTTCTCTCTCTTTGCAGCAGTACACTAGCTTCATCTAGTGGACATTACTGAAATTTCACTAGTTTTATTTAAGTCAGTCAATAAAGTTGTTTTGGCAACATCTTTGGGTTTGTACCAAGGCAATATGGTAGCAGCCAAACACAAATACAAGAATGTGTATTTTGCATTAAATTGCTACTTACACATTAAGAAGTGTAAAACTGAGTTTTAGGGTTTAGATGTCCTCAAGATTATTCAAGTTTAAAATTTATTGGAACTATGTGATTATTTCTTTCCATTTCGGTGGGTGTATACTTGTTTTAGAAAGTACTAAACTATGCACCGCCATCCCAGCTGTGCATGGTTATTTTTAGCAACTACGTTGCCGTAGTGATTCGCTATAGAAAGGTAGCTCATCACTATGGTGACCTAGCATTAGCATCACGATTTGTGCCCGCTGTTGCTACGTCACCATAGCCCGTTGCTACGGCAATGTAGCATCTCATGTAGACATAACCAGTCTGTTCGGATTCACATAATCCAAGTTTGGCTTTTCATTTTGAAAATGAATACAATTTTAACTTTACAGTAAAAGTCCTTCCAAAACTGTCAAGATTCCCCTGGCTTTGTATTGAAACCATAGAACAGTATACATTTCACAGGATTTTTCTGAAAAAAACAAATATTGGCCCTACCTCATGTGAAAATGAGGCCACATTTGCATAAACGTAGTCCAAGATTTGTGTGTAATGAAATAAACCAGACGTTTTTTGCCAGCCTCTTCCACCACTCAACTGTTTATCATCTCCCTCAGAGAGAGAGAGCTTCCAATCACTTCAAATTCATATTGTGGTAGAAACCTTCTTCAAAAACATTATGTTCTCAGGGAGTCTCCTTCTGAGGGTCAAGAACTCCCTTAAGCTATCATTTAATGAACTCTTCCTTAGAGAGTATCATCTTGAAAATGTTTTCATAGCATATTTAAAAACTTTTATTAATAGGCCTCAAGAGTTGAGATTACCTGATATTGTCCTGAACAGTCAGCTCTAAAAGCACTAAGCAATGATAAACGATTTCTACATGTTACAACTGAAGAAATCTGGGAATTAGAAGCCACTCTCTGGAAGAGACCAAAGAAAAGAAATCCATATAATATTCACTTTAAAGTGGAATTATACTGTGAAAAGTGACTCAGTAAAGATGGCAGCTTGCAGTTTTATGCTTATCATTTTTCAGTGACTCCAGCTTGCATTAACCCAATTGCCTAAAAATACGTCCCTCCCCATCTCCCCTTCCAAAAGTACCAGCCCTACAAACTAACCTGGGGATCTGAAAATCAGGTAGGGTTTCTTCTGACTTCACTTCTTATACCTGCAATAAAGAGCGTGCTCCCTTTTACATCTGTGCAGACCCATATACTTGACTGTGATTGCACAGATGTAACTGATGGCACAAGGTGGGGACTTTGTTAATGGGTCTGTTGACTAACCAGCCAAAATGGAATCTAGATTCCTCAAGCTAAATTACTCCTACATTGCTGATAGAAGGAAAAAAGTCATAAATATATTGCTATCACTGAAGTTTGCCAACTATGCTAGACACCCAGAGCAAGCAGATGTGCGGAATGATACATCCCTTTCACTGCAGAAGTCAGCTTCAGATTACAGAAACATTAGGTAAAATGTAAAGAATATGGACCAGAATCCAGGGCTCACCCAGTGCAGGGAACTGCTCTCACCCTTAAAGAGATATATTCCCTATTGCTTAATCTCTCTCTGGCCTCACAGATCTTGCATTCTTGACTACACAATAGCACAACTTCCACTGGAGTCCTCCAGCCCAGTGGGGCTCAACCTTTTGGCCCCACTGGCCTGATGAGTGGCATAGAGCTGGTCTGAAGGCTGGATTGGGCCCCAAACACCCAGATCAGGCCCCATATAGCTTTGGCTAGCCCCTGTACACGCAGATAGGGCCTACGCCACCCCCACCCAAAGATAGGGTCCCATATGCTAGCTTTGGGCCCTGGCACTCCATGCTGATCCTGCCTGACCTCATGCACCAGGATCAAACTCCACATTGCCTCCACCTGGCCTCATATATTGGGATTAGACCCCATGCTGCCCTTTATGCCCGATTTAGCATGCAAGGCCATGCTATCTGGCCTATGAGACTCCTCACAGGTCCAAAAATTTGGCAGCAGAGGAGCAGCAAACAATGCCATCACTACTCCCCTATGGGAAGCCCTACAAGCTGAATGACATGAGGCCAGGGGCCAGGTCTGGTCTGCAGGCTGGAGGTTAAGCACCCCTACTCTAATCTAGTAGGGACACTCTTTTAGTAGACGTGGGTTTGAGTCCCCTTATGCTGAAGAAGACGTAGCCAGGCCCCAGTAGCTGACTGCTTTAACCACTAGGCCAGTGATTCTCAATCTGGGTGCCATGAAATTCTTTTATGGATACGGTGCAGTGCAAGGTGATTAAGTGCAGACACTCACCCTCTCCAGCTGCTACTCCTCTACTCCTGCCCCTCCTCCACTGCCCAACCCTTGTGCAAGGAAGTAAATGAGAACTGTAATAAATGAATTCATTTTTTAAATAGGGTGCTGCTCATTTCACAAAAGTTATGGAATCTAAAAACATTCAGAACAACTGCCTTAGGCAAATGTAAGTGTCCATGGCTCCTGTGCAAGACATCATGGAGTGTTCCCCTTCTGAAGAGACCATTTATTGTTAAGGAAAACCTTTAGTGCACAGGAAGAGCTCAATTTTCTTAACCCATTTATGCTCCATTGATGTTTGCCATGAATAAAGAAGTGCAGTATAACAAGCAGCCAGCCAAAAACCATGACACTGTTTGACACTGTTTAGGGCGTGCGTGCGTGCGTCCCTACCTCTGTCCATGCCACCTGTGGCTGGAATCTAGCAATTAGAGCTGCAAGGCCAAAACATGCATTCACTTCCACTCTTTGATAAACTCCACGTTCTTGATAAGTTTATATTCTTGCACTGTTTTTAAGTACTGTTTTTTTTAAATGACAGAGTTTGCAATTGTTTCTACTTCCACACAGTTATATACAATTCATTTTTATTTACATTTTTAAATACATGCTTTTGTTGAATTGTGACTAATAATGTAATGAAGAACCAAGATCCTTCTATATAAAAACATTCATAAAAATGTCATAAATATATGAAAATCCATAAACCATTCCACAGATTGGATACACAAGACATGAAGGAAGTGTTCTAAACTCAGGTTCAGTCAGAACCTGACAAGTTAAAACACAAAAGTTAGTCGTGATGGGCACGTCCCCACAAGCGCGCATGTGCGGCTTGCAGTGCCACAAGCCACATGTATGTGCATTCACTGTGCTGCTAATAAGGACACACCCCTGAAGGGCTGAGGGGAATTGCCAAGCTCCCTGGGAACCAATGGACTGATCCTTCACAGAGTGTCTAAGAGGGAGTATGAAAATAAGAGAGACTCACTGGGACCATACAAGAGCGGTAAAATTGCAGAGTGTGAGAGGTCCTGTTAGTCACCTCTATTGTGGGAGGATTCAAGCAGGCACCCCTTAACAGAAGAAACAAAAAGGATGCCTACATAAGTGTGCAGGAGCCAGTATCAGTACCTGAGAGGATGAAGACTAGATATGGCCAGTTTCCTGATCTTACTTATAAGTTTAAGGCATGGCAGGAAAGTTAAAGAGGTCATTAGTAAGCTAGAGGGCCCAGAGAGAGATACTGGGCTCCCATACAGTCCATAGGCAGTGGAAAGTTCCAAACACTGATCCTCCCGAATCGGAATGACTCAGAGACAGAAACCTACCTTTGTCCCCCTTTCCCTTCAGCTGCATTATCTATGCCAGAAGTAGGCAACCTGTTCTGACTAAGGGCCAGAATGGCCCATCCCAAATTGGAGGAAGACAGGTGTTAGGACTCTGCAGCTGCCACTGCTGGTCCCCATAACAGCATAGGCACAGAGCCTATAGCCAGTGCTCCTGGCCACTGAAAGTTACTGAAGCCCCGTATCTGCCAGCTGGGTCCAAAGATTCTATAGGCCAGATCCAGCCCACAAGCCATATGTTGCCGACTCCTGTTCCATGATGTATTTCTTAGGTGATCCAGTACAGAATATGATCCCATATCTGGTATGAATACATGTAAACAAAGCTGGACCCATTTTCACCAGAATTTAACATTATTATTTTGCAGTTACTGGTCACTTATGGTGTCTGAGTCAGGCAGGCCTGTAACTCCTGGCCAGTGAGATCCACTGAGTTGTAACAGACATGAACAACCTTCTCAAGCAGTCAAACGGCTGTAGCATTCAAGTTGGACAGAATCTCTGCTGACTTTTGCAAGATCCTTAGGTCTTCCAGGTGCAGTCCCTTTATCAAAGCCAGCTGGGCTTCAAGGTGTACATTATCCTTTTTCAACTTGGAAATCTGAAATATGTAAAATAAGTGGGAAGGTTTTATTTCAAATTATAAGATGATTAATAGGGTAAGTACATGAACAGATGCTTCTCACAAGTTAGTTTGTGCCGGGGTAAAATATTGCATCATGAACATACTGTACATTTTGTCTTACCAAGACAACAGAGTTAGCAACAAAATGAAACAGTGTTCACACAAAATTCATGACACAGACAGGAAACAAAGGCTAAGACTAGGTTAGGGAAAAAATGTGCTTATTTCAAGTCAGTGCCTTACTGAATCAGACCCTAAGGCCTGCCTAGTTCAACAGCAACCACACCAAGAACTTAGTAGTGAAAGATGCTTAAGATGCCTACTGTAAGCAAAGGAACAGTAGATCACCACTGACATAAATCTGAGGTAGTGAGCTAAATTGTATTGCAGTCACCTTTCCTTAGTGGTAGAGCTACTTTTTAAACTGGATCTTGTGTATTGAGTAAGGCTGTGACAATGGCCTCCCCTCCTGTCTGATCTAGAATTTGCTAATGAAAAACACAGGGACTAAAGATGGCAGTGTTAAGAAACAAAAACTTGTCACTTTCTCTCTTTAGGCCTTTTCAACAGTGTCTATCTGGACCTGTATTTCTGAAGTCCCCCATTATCAGCATTTTACTAGACTGCTGCCCTTTTGGGCGCTCTCAAACTTTTGAACACATTTTATTTTCTCAACCTACATTTTTATATTTACATTCTTATAGCTTGGAATTTAGATCTATGCAGATTCTACTGTGTGGTAGTCTCCACACAGAATTATAATCTCACTTGACACTATGGAATTCTTTAGTTAACAGTTAACCTTATCGCACCCCTTCAACCTAGCCAGTTATTCCACTAAAGTTTGTAAGAGTCATTACAACAACCCACTGCATTATCCCACTCTGTTTCTGTAACACCTATTATTTCCAAGTCCTTGTCCGCAGTTCAGGATTCTAAATCATCTGTTTCTACTTATGAACTTCTTGCACTTATAAGCAGACATTTCAGATGTTATTCCTGACTGGGAATCGGTTTTTATTTAACTCTTTGATCTGACATACTGCTGATTTTATAGACTCTGTCTCTGTGCTTCTACCCTTTCCCTGTCCTAGTTGTTCTAGCTGTTGTTTCCAGCCTCTCCATGATTGGCTGTGAAGGTACTTCTGTGTTCCCAGCATCACGGACAGCTGTCACTGTCTGACTTACACTTCAGTTAAACACATACCTTGTTATTTTCCATAACAAGAAAGGCTCCATCTGGTATAAGGTTCAGCTACCCCCTTCAGTTTGTGTCTTGCTTTTCCAAAATGTACCCAAAAGCCAAATAACTAAAATTTCCTCTGGTCTGTACTATCTTCTCAAACATGCACGGAAACCCAGAAGTTCCCTTTGCTTAACTGGATCTATGCCTGGAACTAGAAGCATTGCAGAGAAAATGATCACTGGGGCCTGGGATCTAAGAATTCCACCTACTTAGCTGTAAAAATTCATTTCCAGGACCTCTCCCCTTCATATTCTATGTCCATAGGTTGCCGGTCCCGACATGTACTATGACCAAAGGCTCTTTCCCAGAAGTCCATCTAAAGTGTCTCGTTATATTCACCACCTTCACACCTACAAGTAAGTTTCCATACAGGTATCTGTACTTCAAAATAAGGATTTTTTTGCCTTCTTAGGACCCTTCAAAAATAGGGTGTGTTTATATTTGGGGGTGCAGTATATGAGGGAAATAAGGTAATTTCCAAATAGGAAGGTCAAGAAAGTCAGGGCTGGGGTGCTCGCACTCTCAAATATCCCTATATGGCATGTTTACAAACAGTTCCATGCCCCCTGCTCTTCCAGTTTAACAATTGTAGGCTGCAGATATTGTACCTGCACTTTGAGGGCTATGAACTGCTTGCACCATGTGCATATGCTTATTTTCCCTGTCATCTCATTGCCCTTTTCCTTTGTAGTCATTTCAGCAGGGCAGTCATTTGATTTTACTGTATATATATGCAGTTTTACTATATATACATATATATGTGCATGCCTGCGTGTGCACATTCACGCGCACATGCACCCAATAATATTGCTGCACATTTAAAAAAAAGGAATTTCAAATGATGAACAATTCTGTGATCTCAGTTACAAAGGTGTCAGTCCAGATTCACTCCAATTACTTCAATGCTCACTTTTTTTGCCACCTTATACTAATTTCCAGGTGCACCTAACACAAAGTCCACTTACATCCCTGAGCCCTTTATGCTTTTAAATATCCTTCCCATCAATTTAAAATCCATTTTGCATTTAATTCCCAAAGAGTGTCAATCCTCCCCTGCTCCCCAAGGTTAAGATCTCAAAAGATCCAGTTGTTTCAGGCACTCTAATTGAACCAAATTTTGATCTCCATTATACTGATGTAAATCTGGAATATATTATGCATGAGCCCCACTGGCAATGAAAAGAGAATGACACCCTCTTTCTATTAGATAAGCAGTAATTAGCTAATGCCTGGCAAATGATCTGGTAACTATATTATCATACTGCTGCCTGTAACCAAGCTGCAACTCAAATCTAACTCAGTTTACCGGTGCTACTACCAATTTATGCATGGGAAACTGAGAGGAAAATCTGGACCACTCCATTCTTCTAAGCAAGTTACCTGATGAAGGACATGCTGTGTCTCCTCTATTAAAGAAAAACATATTTTTGTTGCTAGTTTCAAAGCTTTCTCTTCATTTCCAGATGAAATCACATCACCGAGTAGCACTCTCTTCCAGCAAGCACTAAAACCAAAATATTTGAACACATGGTCATTTGTTGCATTCCTCATCTGGAAAATAAACTGAACAGCCAGGGAAAAAAGAACCCAGATAACAGAAGATCAAACATAGCACACATAAAAACAGGCCTTTAGCACTCAGATACCATGTTGATGGACACAGCTGGAGAATGTGAGAACATACAGACATTTAGTGGTATGTTGGATTGATGGCTCTCCGTGTCATGGCAAGCTGGATCCTCAGCAAAAATGGGAATTCAAATTAAAATGAAAAGAATATTTAAAGGCATATTTTATACAGGGTACAACTTATTTAGTCATTTTCAATCAATATCAGATTCTGAAGCCCAAATCTATTGCTAGAGTTAAGTGCACAGCACTGATGTCACCGGACTTGAACCCTTGAACTTCAGCAATAAATTAGGTCTGGAAATGTCAACAGTAGTCCCTAAATACTCTCTTCAGAGAAATCAACGTGGGTACACAGTTCACGGGACCAGTCAAACTAACAGGCTGCAGAAACACCCAACATTAAAGTAATAATCAGTTCTTGAAGCAGGGAGAGTAGGATAACAGAATACTTATTGTTCGCAAATTTACAAAGCCAGCCACCATAGTTGTTTGTGCAATCAACAGAACAAGGAGCAATGGTCTGAGGTTGCAGCAAGGGAAGTTTAGGTTAATATTAGTAGAGGTTGACCGATATATCGGTTGTATATCTGATTGGCACTGATAAAAGAAAAATTAACATTATCGGCAATCGGCCATTTTTGGCCGGTGTAGCCAATAATGTTACTGATAAATACTGCATGTATGCACATAGCCACAGTATGCATGGGGCCAGGAATGTAGCATGGAGAGCAGCATCCAGCTGGTAAGTCTGTGTGAAGGAAAGAGTGTGGGGGAGGGAAGGGGTGTGGCAGGGGGGCAGATCGAGGCCCCCACAGTGAGGGAGAGAGTGGGGCAGGTGCTGCCTAGCTGGGGCAGGGAGCGGGACAGAGCCACAGTTGATTCCAGGGGGCGTGGGAGGGGAGCAATGTCGGGGGGAGGGCAGGAAGGGGGCCAGCTCCATGCCACTGCGAACACCTCTGGGAGAGGCATGGGGGGGGATGTGCTCCCCGGATCTGCGTGCAGGGTGAGGACAGGCTGCCCACTGCAGGCTCAGGGCCAGGGGCTGCAGTCTGCCTCTTCCCCGTGGGGAGGCTGGGTGT